GTCCCCTCTGGGGCCCTGTGCCCGGATGGCGCTGGCTGCAGTATTCCACAGGGAAAGGTCCCACTGCAGCTTGCAGCCCCCCGCCTCCCTTTTCGGCCTCAATCCCCCCATCCTTGGCACAAGCCGCTGCCAGGACCCCCCTCCCTAGAGCCTTACGTGGGCCAGGGGCTGCTTGTCCTGGAGAAGCAGGAACCGGTGGCTCTGCTCCGGGCTGGAATACTCCAGCACCAGGGCAAAGTGCTCGATGTGTCTCAGGGAGAGGCGGTCCTGCAGCGTCACCATCACGTCCTGCAAAAGCCAGAGGGGCATTCAAGGGACCCATTTCCAGCATTTCCAGCCAGGCAGGGGCCGACAGAGGCCGTGACGAGGAGCAACTGCTCGGGTGGGACCCACCTTCACCGTGGTTCGGCCGTCGAACGTGAACGACTTGATCTGCCCGTTCTCCAGGAAAACCTTGAGCACGTTGGGGATGAGGAGGAGCGCGTCCTTCTTCAGCATGTCCTGGCAGGCGGGAAAGGGGCACAGAGAGGAGGGGAATGGAGGGAAGGAGGGGGATGTCAGCAGCGGAGCAGCTCTGGCTTCCCGGGATCACACGCCAAGTGTCACATCCCCCCAGACGCAGCAGCTGTGCTGAGCCAGGCGGACACGGAGCCGCCGCACGGAGCCACCTCCCCAGCTCCCGGCAGTGGGAATTGGGTGTCCGGCTCCCTCAGCCACTTCCCGATGGACTCCCCGCATCCCCCCTCGGGACCCCAGCTTGGCTCGGGCTCGCACCAGCCTCCCACCTCTGTGCGCGGAGCTGAGCGCAAGCTGGTGTTTTACAGCAAGCAACGCTGGAACCACATAATTACTTAATTGATTTTACTTAAAAATAGAATTTGCTAGAAGCACTTTAAAGCTTTTTTTCCTCCTTTTTTCTTTCATGTGAGTAGCTGCTTAATAAAAGCTCCCTGCAATTAGGGATGATAACGCCAGCGGGCCACAGTGCTGCTGCACGAGCGTGTCCCCAAGCTGGTAAGGGTGGCACTTACTGGGTCCGTCTCGCCGACCGTCACCTGCTCGGAAAAGCGGACCTTGGGCGGGTTGGAGCGCAGCTTGGCCTTCTTAGCTGCGCTGATGAAAGCAGATTTGGGCGACTGGAAAGAGAGCGGCCAGGTGAACCGCGGGAAGGGACATCCCAAGGGATGCGGCCACCATGGGGGACACCGGCACGGCTCTCACCTGGTGCGTGTGCAGGACGGTGAGGACCACGAAGTCCTTGGCGCTCCTACGACGGGAAGGAGAAGCGAGGAAAGGATGCGCTCAGCATGGGGACATCTCACGTGTCCCCAGGTCCTTCCCAAGCAGCAGCCGGCAGCTCTGGAGCTGGCGGTGGCAGCGGGGAGGCGCTGGACACCGGCCTCGCCAGCAAGGCTGGCTTTGCTCCTCACTAAGGCCCATGCAAGCCCTGCCTCGGCGCTGTCCGAGGCTCAGGATGTCCCCCCATTTGGGGACACGGGTGTCGCGTCCTCACCTGACGAGCTCGATGAAGCGCTCGCGGGGGGCCTCGCTCACGTCCTCGGCGTTGATGGCCACGATCTGGTCTCCGGGCAGGAGCTTCTCCTCGGAGGGGCCGCC